TGTAAATGGTCATTTGAATCGTTTCAACTCTCCTGTCTGATCTTGTTTGACCGTAAGACTGTGACATATTTAAAGGAGTATTACACCAGGTTAAAACATCCATAAATGAGCCAATATATCAGAGAGTAGTCCAGATATACTGGACTATAAGTGGCTGACAGCATCTACCATCATCACCATCATCATCATTATTATTATTATTATTATTATTATCAATATTTGTGTAAGCAGGAACAAGTGACAAGTCACAAACATCAATAGATGATAAACTGGAATGATGACATGTTACTTAAGCTCAAGAGTAGAGCCCAAATCAAACACAATGAGAAAGAAAGCATTTCCCTTACATAGTTTGTCTGCCAGAGAGCAAGTTTATTCATATTAAATGTCCTGCTCAGAACATATCATGGTCACAATTCGTAGGAAACCAGAAGAGATCCTTATATAAAATGTTGTTTCATGCTTAAGAAAATTAAAACACTCGGTCAATATGTTGGTTTACAGTCTCATATCATTTTCAGTATCTGCCTCTGAAATCCAGTATCTGTTGCACTGTACCCAAGAGGTGTCCATGGCAACAAGTATTAAAAACTGTTGGCATCAAGTGTTTGGTCATGTACACAATCTTGTTTACCTATTACTAAATCATATAAATTCTCATTTTAATCAAAATCTGCTCATTTTAGACTAGGCAACATTTAATAACTGTGGCTGCTTTTTATATACTGTGACAACCAAAGGTAAAACATAAGTGGGTCCTAACAGGTACCGAGAGGACCGCCTTCATGTGATCACACTGTAAATGGTCATTTGAATCGTTTTAACTCTCCTGTCTGATCTTGTTTGACCGTAAGACTGTGACATATTTAAAGGAGTATTACACCAGGTTAAAACATCCATAAATGAGCCATTTTATAGTCCAAATATACTGGACTTTAAAGTGGCTGACAACAACTACTGTCATTATTATTTGTTGTTGTCAAGAGAAGTGGAAACAGGAACTGACAAGTCACAAACATCAATAGATGATAACATGGTGTGATGACATATTAAATATCCTGCTCAGAACACATCAGGGTCCCAATTCTTAGTAACCAAAAATTTAAGAGATCCATGTATAAAATGTTGGTTAATGCTTTTTTTTTTTTAAAAATACACTAGGTCAATATATTGGTTTACAGTCATATATGTATACATATATACATGTCAGTATCTGCCTCTGAAATCCAGTATCTGTTGCACTGTACCAAGAGGTGTCCATGGCAACAAGTATTAAAAACTGTTGGCATCAAATGTTTGGTCATGTACACAATCTTGTTTACTTATTACTTGATCATACAAATCCTAATTTTAATCAAAATCTGCCATTTTTAGACTAGACCATTTTTAGATTAGGCAACATTTAACCACTGTGGCTGCTTTTCTTCAGTGCAAACTAAGATTTTGTACCATATTTCATTGTTAAAGCAATGTTTCTTAACTCTCCCCCCCATCTCAGATTTTTCTATGTGACGTTGGAGCATGATGAGGCTGAGAGTGCGTAAAGCTCCTCAGCAGCCAAACATAGGCCGTCGAACCCACCCATCCCAGGCCAAACGGAAACACTGTGAAGTGGAGCCATCCCCTGTGAGAGGTCGAGGCAAAATGCAGAAGAATGAAACAGGCCTGTTGTCCACTATAAAGAAATTCATCCGTGGAAATGCAGTTAAGGTGGGCTTACATCAGGATTCACAGCTGCTGCTTTTAGAGTCTAGGTTTTGTTGCTGTAACATAATAATACATAGTAGGAACACACACTCTTTGTGCAGAATAAAATCAATGCCTCAGTTGTATTTTGTGCTGATAGTGTGAAATCTTTACTCACATAATATCTATGCCTGTTTTTAGAAGCTTAACACAGTCACAGCCAACACAGTTTCCTACGGGCTTTTTATAGGTTTCTGTCAACTTCCTCTATTTTCATTTTGTAAATGGCCAGCTGATTGCCAACTGTAAAACCACATACTGTATGTTTGTTTTGTCAACAGAAAAAAGTAGAGCAGGTCATGAGTTTTCTCTAAAAACTAAAACTGATAACTTATTGGCAATTTAATGTATTGGTCCCATGTTTGAATAAGCATCCAAGTAATTTAACGTAAAAGTTAATGTCAGTCTTACTTTGTTTTGTTACCATGACTGTTTCTGTATCCCTGTTTTATTGTTATCAGGTGGAGCAGGAAATCCCCGCCAAGAGGAGTCGTATTGATTGTAATTCTGAAAGCGATCTAATTACTTCAACACCACAGACAAGAGGCCTTTCCAACAAATCAGTCTCCAGAGTTTGTCGGAAAACTCCAAATAAAGGTACCACAGATCTAGTAACAAGTGTTGTAACAACACAGATGCACAGATATTGTGTTTTTGGGTTGTTATTAAAGAGTTGTTGTCGTTTTGTTTTTAGACACAATGACCTGCAACAGTAAACCCCTAAAACCAAACGGTAAACTAGAGGCCCCTGTCGAAGCAGCAAGCAGCCCACCGCGCACCACCCTGCTTGGAACCATCTTCTCTCCGGTTTTCAACTTTTTCTCACCAGCAACTAAAACGGGTAAAACAAAAGAATCCTTAGATGTTTCTGTCTAAAAATACCTAATATTTAGGATTGATTAAAATAGTTTTAATTGGATGGAAAATCACTGCAGTTGTTTTTTAAGAGAATCTGGTCATTTGTTTGCAGCCACTCCTGGTTCAGACTCTCCTGGCCAAGCGATCGAGGCAGAGGAAATCATGAAACAGCTGGACATTGAGCAGGCAGAAGAAATGCCAAGCAGCACTCTTACATCCACAGAGGGCATCACTCTGTGTCACCCTGCCCCAATATTACCACAGAGGCTTCAGATTACCTCCGACACGTCCGTAGAAGAAGGGGAGATTGTCACTGAAACTGACATGCCACCGTTAACAGGTACGACCACTCTCACATTAGGTCTCATTCTCTTAATTTGGCATTTATGTCAGTACTGTGTTAGACACTTACAAACATGTAAACGGTGTCATATGGGCACCACCATAATAGGCTTTTAGTAGTTAATTTAGGGTTTTTCTTGTTCATCAAATGTATAATTTTTTGGCCACACAGATATTTGAACCTGACACTGCTGTTTGGCAACTTGTGCTAAGCCTGTTTTGACTCTGTGCTCTGATTTATAATTTAACATTAAAAAGCTGAAGTGAAACGTTCCACATTTGGGGAAAAAAGGGCAGTAATTATAAGAATAGTTTCAAATCCTTGATTATTCAATATGTATGTTGTTAGCAGCCTTTAAAAAACAGCATTTCTCATAAGCCCTTGACCATTGTGGGGGAAGCGGTTTATTGCGGTTTATCTTTGTTAAAATCATGAAGGTTTCATTGTGTAACAAATAATGAAGCGGATGTT